TTATTATTATTATTAGTAGTAGTAGTAGTAGTAGTAGTAGTACATTTAATATTTTACTCTCTTTATTATTATTAGAAGGATACGTAAGCACATTTACATCGAAGGACATTAGAATAATGGTATAATCAGAGTTGGACAGTTTTATCTTAAATTACAGTTTTATGTAAATATTCAAAAACATTTAACCTACCTATGCCTCAATTAATGTAACTATTCGAATCTATTTTTATTTTGAATTTTACCAGTAGCGGCTGCATTTCTCACCCTCAGCTTATACTCATGTCAATACGCCTTCCCAGTTTTTTGTCCAGATCTATTGTTATTTGGGTCCACAGTGCTCTTTGGATGTAGGTGAACTACAAATCCAAAACTCAAGGTCAATGCCCAACAAACCCTTCCAGTATTTTCTGTTGATCATGCGAGTTCTGTGTGCCAAGTCTGGTTCAATTAGATCATTGGTGGAGTTCAGAACGCTCTTTGATTGTAGGTGAACTATAAATCCCAGCAACTACAACTCCCAAATGACAACATCAATCCCCTCCAACCCCACCAGTATTCAAATTTGGGTACATCAGGCATCTGCGCCAAATTTGGTCCAGTGATTGAAAATACGTCCATCATATCAGATATTTACATTACAATTCATAACAGTAGCAAAATTACAGTTAAGAGGTTGCAATGAAAATAATTTTACGGTTGGGGGTCAGCACATGAGGAACTGTATTAATGGTTCGCGGCATTAGGAAGGTTGAGAAACACTGCTCTAGGGAAATATCTCTTAAATCTACAAATCCCAGAATTCCACAGCATTGAGCCATAGCAACTAATGTGGTGTCAAAGTGCTAAAATTATGTAGTGTGGATACAGCCCTGGTTATGGTTAGCAGGCACTTCCTTTCATAGCTCAGGAAACGCACTTGATCTGTTCATCAGACAAAAGACTGACTTCAATCCAAATTGTGAAACGCACCCTCCTTGTAAAGAAACAATGGAATGGAATTTATTACATCTTGGCTGAATGCAATCCAACTATTACTTCTCCAGACCAGAATTTTCTTGACACACAAGGTAAGAAGGCGCACTGAGATTCAGCTTCTATCACTATTGTTTATAAGCATGGCTATTTTTGGCTGATAAACTGGAGAGGACACACGGTATGGTAAACAAATTGCTTTCGTTTTCAGTTCCTGAACAGATCACCTCGAAAAACTGATTACTCACTAAATTAGATACACGCATATTTAAACATGTTACTTGAAAATAGCACCTTCTCCTATAGCTTGTTATTAAAAATATGCTTTTCAGTCTCTCATTTTGAGATCTTCTGCTTGGAAACCAGTGTTTCTATCTATCTCCGTGCAGGAAGCAAGAAAAGCAACTTGCCAGTCATACAGTTTCAAAATCACTTAGTTTTTTATCTGGGGTATTCTGGGGAGGGGGGGGGAGGTGTCATATACTATTAAAATGTTTCTATATGCTTTCAAAGGAACTGCTCTGCACCATGGAGAGGTTACTCTGAAACAACAATGCTTAGAACTGCATCTCAACACCTTCTGCTATATGTTTATAACTGATGTTATGTGTTGTATGTCTGTGTGCTGGAAAATGCAAAGACCACCAGCACTGAAGCAATGCTTCTACGCCATCAACTCCACTGGACTGGCCATGATGTCCAAATGCCCGATCACCATCTCCCAAAGCAGTTACTATATTTCCAACTAAAGAACGTGAAACGTAATGTTGCTGAACAGAAAAAGAGATTTTAAAATGGGATTAAAGCCAACCTTAAAAACTGTGGCATAGATCTGGGAAGCCCTGGCACTTGAGCACTCTAACTGGAGGTCAGCTGTGACCAGTGGTGCTGCAGAATTCGAAGAGGCACGAATGGAGGGAGAAAGGGAGAAACATGCCAAGAGGAAGACATGTCAAGCCAACCCTGACCGGGACCGCCTTCTACCTGGAAACTGATGTCCTCACTGCGGGAGATCTAGAATAGGGCTCCACAGCCTCCTATGAACCCACCACCAAGACACTAGATTTGGAGGGCCATCATCCTCGGGTTACAAGGGATCACCTAAATTTGTGTTGTATTTTATAATTTGGTTTTGTTCTTTGACACTATCCATGGGAAGACGTGGGTTAAAACACTATTACTAATTTGCTTGAACAAAAAAGTCAGTATTGTATCTATCAATAGCCAGAGGGTTGAAGCATTTTTTAAAAATTAAATAAATGGGAGGAAAGACAGTATAATTTCCTTTCCTCAGCATTCTCCTGTTTTGCACACAAACAGCCAATAGTTTAAAAATTGGCAAAAGGCACTGAACACTGTATGTTCTAGAACAGTAGTTCCCAACTTTTTTTATGACCAGGGACCACTCTCCAACATTAGTACCAAAAGGTTTACGAATCCGTTTTTGGTCAACTTTAGATTTGGTTTGGTTATTTGGGTTGCAGATTCAGAAAACTGCATTGGATAGATGCAGAACATCTGATACAGAACATATGCCATCCAGTAGTCACCATCTGCTCGCCCACAGAAAACCATATTTAATAAGAATTGGCACTATAAGATAGTTTTGCAAGATCAGTCGCTCTTGTGGCAACAGTGAGGCCACGTACCATATTTTAGTTCTTGTGGACCACTGGTAGTCCACGGACCACACGTTGGGAACCACTGCTCTAGAATGATAAATAAGTGTTCAGTGTTTATTTACACACAGTGCACTATACCCCCATTCTGAGCCTACTGTATTTTAGAAGTCTTCATGTATTGTTTTAGGTTTTTTCGGGCTATATGCCATGTTCTAGAGGCATTCTCTCCTGACGTTTCATCTGCATCTATGGCAAGCATCCTCAGAGGCTGTGACCTCACAACCTCTGAGGATGCTTGCCATAGATGCAGGTGAAACGTCAGGAGAGAATGCCTCTAGAACATGGTCATATAGCCTGAAAAAACCTACAACAACCCAATGATTCCAGCCATGAAAGCCTTCAACAGTCTTCATGTAATTTCTCATTCTACAGAAACCACTATTTATAACTATTTTTTCTTTATAGAAGCTGCAGAAAATAAGACAGGCGCAAGGAGTAGCTTTGCATTGCAACACCATTTTACAAAGACCCCATGAACCATATGATTAAGAAAAAAAAAAAGAAAACAACAATTTTACAGTGTCTTTACAGACAATTTATATGGATTTTCTTTTACCAAAAGGAGCTGCACCAGGCATGGGAAAACTTCAGCTTGCCAGGTGTTTTGGACTTCAACTCCTATAATTCCTAATAGCCAATAGGCTGTTAGGAATTGCAGTCCAAATTACCTGGAGGGCCGAAGTTTGTCCATGACTGAGCTATACAGTATTTGGTTTGTTTTTTTGAAGGACCTTGACAACAACAAAAACACGTGTACTGATGACAATTCTCAGTTACAGTATTCCAAAAGTTTTTTAAATTATTTTTATTGTATTGTTATCACCTATTTGTAATACATCTATCTTTACTTTACATTGCTTTAGTTTCAACAGTATTCCAAAAGTTAATGCCTAGGATTAATAGCACAATCCAGAAGTGAAGAATTACAGACCTTCCTATTACATTTCTATCTATTTTTGGCTTTTTATTTATTTATGAGCTCATGCATTCCCAAAGAAGCTGCATTCCATCTTCTTAATGAAACAATACTGTTTAGTTAAGATCAAATGTAAGAAAAGACTGCCATTCTGCAAATCGACAACAAAACTTTTGCAGTTTTCTTGTACACAATGTGTTTCTTATTTGTTACAGCAAAGCATATGTAAAAGCTGCTTCCCATTTGCAGCTCTCTTATTTCCCTTCTTCCCAAATTGGAAATGACCACTAGCAAAATACCAAAATACACAGGAAATACCAGTGCAACCAGGTTTCTAAGCTGAACTATGAAAGAAAATCATACAAGGGTTCCAAAACATGATTTGGATATGTGTAAGTCTTCCCATAGTCTGAGTAGCTTTGCACATCATGACCAATGCCTATCTTTTATAAAGTGGTGCAATGGGTTAAACTAATGTTTCTCAACCTTCCTAATGCCGCAACCCCTTAATACAGTTCCTCATGTTGTGGTGACCCCCAACCATACAATTATTTTCGTTGCTATGTCATAATTTTGCTACTGTTATGAATCGTAATGTAAATATATGAAATTTGAATACTGGTGGGGTTGGAAGGATTGTAGTCGTTGGGATTTATAGTTCACCTACAATCAAAAGAGCATTCTGAACTCCACCAATGACGGAATTGAACCAAACTTGGCACACAGAACTCCCATGACCAGCAGAAAATACTGGAAGGGGTTGGTGGGCATTGACCTTGAGTTTGGGAATTGTAGTTCACCTACATCCAGAGAGCACTTTGGACTCAAACAATGATGGATCTGGACCAAACTTGGTACAGATACTCAATATGCCCAAATGGGAACACTGGTGGAGTTTGGGGAAAATAGACCTTGACATTTGGGATTTATAGTTCACCTATAATCATTCTGAACCCCACCAACAATAGGATTGGGACGAACTTCCCACACAGAACCCTGATGACCAACAGAAAATACTTTGTTTTCTGAAGGTCTTTGGTGGCTCCTTTGACACCCCCTCGCGATCCCCTCAGGGGTCTTGACCCCCAGGTTGAGAAACACTGGGCTAAACACTTGTGTCAGCAGGACTGCTGACCAACAGGTCAGCAGTTTGAATATGGGAGAGCAGATTGAGCTCCCTCTGTCAGCTCCAGCCCCCCATGCGGGGAAATGAGAAAAGCCTCCCACAAGAATGGTAAAACATCAAACACCTTAGGGCGTCCCCTAGGTAACGTCCTTGCAGACAGTCAATTCTCTCACACCAAGTGACTTGCAGTTTCTCAAGTCGCTCCTGACACACAAAAAAGCTGCTTTAATTTTCATTAAGTGCTTTCCCTGGAACCAAGCGGCATTAACTTCATATTTAGCAGCAAGAAGAGAAAGGCGCCTACCAAAGTTCAAGTTTTCCTCTTCATGAATACACCAGCACTCAGGATGCTTCCTGCATCGGTACTTTTGGATGAATTCTTACTGTACGCTGAGAAAGCTGTTCACAACTGAAGTTACACGAGAGCTTTTGCCATTTCAAGGAACAATTCCTCCTCCCAGAAAGAAAAAAAAATACAACAGCTGCAACGTCTGGGCTAAAAACAGTTCTAATAATATGAGTCCCACACATGTGCAAAATATAGCTTCAGAGAAAGCAACGGCTTGGTTTTAGCACTCTGGAATAGTTTGCACATTTCATTTCAAACCACCCACAAGCTGTAATTTCTCCGCCAAGTTCCCCATGGCTTCCTTGAAAGAGGGGCTATTTGAAAAAAGTACATCCTATACTAGACATGGGCAAGCTTTGGTCCTCCGGGTGTTTTGGACTTCAACTCCCACAATTCCTGGGCTCAGGCCCCTTCCTTTTCCCCCTCAGCCGCTAAGCGGCTGAGGGGGAAAAGGAAAGGGCCTGAGCCCAGGAATTGTGAGAGTTGAAGTCCAAAACACCCGGAGCGCCGAAGTTTGCCCATGCCTGTCTATACAACTATTTCTCCCTACAGCAGTAATCTTAAAGACTAAATCCTGCTAAAGTCAATGAGATTTACATCTGAGTTAAAAAAAACTTAGGTAATGATCCTAGCCAACCACTGGGAGTTGTAATTTCACAAGTCTTCTCTGGTGCCCTCAGCGAACTACAAATCCCAGGGTTCCACAACCTTGAGCCATGGGAAGTGGAGCCAAGCTGCATCCAGTTTCCACAGTAGAATAAATGCGCACTTTAATTTCTATGGCCCAATGCTATGGGGATCCTGGAAGTTGTAGTTTCACAAACCTTCTCTGGTGCCCTCAGTGAACTACAAATCCCAAGGTTCCACACCTTGAGCCATGGGAAGTGGAACCAAGCTGCATCCAGTCTACACAGTGTACTGTAGAATAAACACACACTTTAATTTCTATGGCCCAATGCTATGGGGAGCCTGGGAGTTGTAGTTTCACAAATCTTCTCTACCAAAAAAGTGCTGGTGCCTCCAGTGAATTACTAATCCCAAGGTTCCACAGCCTTGAGCCGTGGAAAGTGGGGCCAAACTGCATCCGGTTTATAGTGTAGGTGCACCCTTTAATTTCTATGGCCCAATGCTATGGGGATCCTGGAAGTTGTAGTTTCACAAGCCTTCTCTGGTGCCCTCAGCGAACTACAAATCTCAGGGTTCCACAACCTTGAGCCATGGGAAGTGGAGCCAAGCTGCATCCAGTCTACACAGTGTACTGTAGAATAAACACACCCTTTATTTTCTATGGCCCAATGCTACTGAGATACTGGGAGTTGTAGTTTCACAAGCCTTCACTGCCAAAAAAGGGCCAGTACCCCAACGAACTCCAAATCCCAAGGTTCCGCTGCCTTGAGCTATGGAAAGTGGTGCCAAGCTGCATCCAGTCTACACAGTGTAGTGTAGAATAAATGCACCCTTTAATTTCTATTGCCCAATGCTATGGGGATCCTGGAAGTTGTGGTTTCACAAGTCTTCTCTGGTGCACTAGCTAACTATAAATCCCAGGGCTCCACAGCCTGGAGCCATGGAAAGTGGGGTCAAGCTGCATCCAGTCTACACAGTGTACTGTAGAATAAACACACCCTTTAATTTATAGGCCCAATGCTACTGAGATCTTGGGAGTTGTAGTTTTACAAGCCTTCTCTGCCAAAAGAGAACTAATAACCTAGTGAACTACAAATCTCATGGTTCCACAGCCATGGAAAGTGGGGCTAAGCTGCACCCAGTCTCCACACCAGTGAACTACAAATCCCAAGGTTCCACAGCCATGGAAAGTGGGGCATGCTGCATCCAGTCTCCACACCAGTGAACTACAAATCCCAAGGTTCCGCAGCCATGGAAAGTGGTGCCAAGCTGCATCCAGTCTCCACACCAGTGAACTACAAATCCCAAGGTTCCACAGCCATGGAGAGTGGGGCCAAGCTGCACTCAGTCTCCACACCAGTGAACTACAAATCCCAAGGTTCCACAGCCATGGAAAGTGGGGGCATGCTGCATCCAGTCTCCACACCAGTGAAATACAAATCCCAAGGTTCCGCAGCCATGGAAAGTGGTGCCAAGCTGCATCCAGTCTCCACACCAGTGAACTACAAATCCCAAGGTTCCACAGCCATGGAAAGTGGTGCCAAGCTGCATCCAGTCTCCACACCAGTGAACTACAAATCCCAAGGTTCCACAGCCATGGAAAGTGGTGCCAAGCTGCATCCAGTCTCCACACCAGTGAACTACAAATCCCAAGGTTCCACAGCCATGGAAAGTGGTGCCAAGCTGCATCCAGTCTCCACACCAGTGAACTACAAATCCCAAGGTTCCACAGCCATGGAGAGTGGGGCCAAGCTGCACTCAGTCTCCACACCAGTGAACTACAAATCCCAAGGTTCCACAGCCATGGAAAGTGGGGGCATGCTGCATCCAGTCTCCACACCAGTGAAATACAAATCCCAAGGTTCCGCAGCCATGGAAAGTGGTGCCAAGCTGCATCCAGTCTCCACACCAGTGAACTACAAATCCCAAGGTTCCACAGCCATGGAAAGTGGGGGCATGCTGCATCCAGTCTCCACACCAGTGAACTACAAATCCCAAGGTTCCACAGCCATGGAAAGTGGTGTCAAGCTGCATCCAGTCTCCACACCAGTGAACTACAAATCCCAAGGTTCCACAGCCATGGAAAGTGGGGCCAAGTTGCATCCAGTTTCCACACCAGTGAACTACAAATCCCAAGGTTCCACAGCCATGGAAAGTGGGGCCAAGCTGCACCCAGTCTCCACAGTGTAGAATGAATGCACTCTTTAATTCCTATGCTATGGGGATCCTGGGAGTTGTAGTTTCACAAGGTCTTTTTTTTAGCCTTCTCTACCCAAGAGTCCAGGTGCTCCAGCGAACTACACATCCCAAGGTGGCATAGTATGGCTGGAGTGAAAAGTGCATTCGTTCAATAGCCTAAAGCAATGGATAATAAAAAGCCCCTCTTGTTGGTTGCTTGCTTGTTGCAGTGGTGGCTCACCCTTAGCAGCGCCCCCTCTCGGCCGCGGCGGAGCGGTGCAGTCCGAAGGCGCCTCAGCGAGAGGCACAGCCCAGCCTTCTCCGGCGGCGTCCGCAGGAGCCAATGGCAAAGGGGCGGAAACCTCAGCCTGCTTGGAGGCGCACGTGGGCAGCGTAAGGCGGGAGGGGGGAAAACGAGGGGGGTGATGTCAGCAACCCGCGGTGGGCGGGCCGAGCAGATGACGTCACTCCCCATCTCTCACAGCTTTGGTTGGGGCGCCTCCTAGAGGCAGAGTTCTGGAGGCCCAACACTGCAACTGCACTGACTTAAAACCTATAATCATTAAAATAGAATTAAATATTGCAAAGTTTTCAATGTGGCGGGGAAATAGGCTAGTTTTATATAATACTAATATATATATATAATGCAAATATTGTGCTGTGCTAATAATATAATATATTGTATATACATATATACATAGACATCCTGAGGAGTGAGGTTGAAGGGGCCTTAAGAAGCATTGCTAACAACAAGGCAGCAGGAGACGACAGGATCCCAGCTGAACTGCTTAAAATTTTGTAAGAGGATGCTGTCAAGGTGATGCATGCCATATACCAGGAAATACGCCTTCTCTGGTGCGCCAGCGAACTATAAATCCCAGGGCTCCACAGCCTGGAGCCATGGAAAGTGGGGCCAAGCTGCATCCAGTCTACACAGTGTACTGTAGAATAAACACAGCCTTTAATTTCTATGGCCCAATGCTACTGAGATCCTGGGAGTTGTAGTTATTATTATTATTATTATTATTAAACTTTATTTGTACCCTGCTACCATCTCCCCAAGGGACTCGGTGCGGCTTACATGAGGCCGAGCCCACAATACAACAATAAAACATAGCATCAGTAATACAACAATAAATAAACTCATAAACACAAAATAGCAATAAATATTAACAATAACACAACGACGTTTAAAAACCTATGGCAGGGCCAGATGTACTAATTAAATTTTTTTAAAAATAATGCTGGGCATGACCAGGTGACATATAAACAGGATAGAAATTTTGGAGAGGGATAGGGCATGCAGACAATCCTAAATCACTACTAAAGTGCGTTAAGGGACATATTGCTGGGAGTTTCCTTAATCTGGGAAAGCACACTGGAACAACCACGTTTTCAGGCTCCTCCTAAAGGCTGCCAACGTTAGAGCATGTCTGATGTCCCTGGGGAGTGAGTTCCAGAGTCGAGGGGCCACCACCGAGAAGGCACTGTCCCTCGTCCCCGCCAATCGCGCTTGCAATGGAGGAAGGAGCGCGAGCAGGGCCTCTCCAGATGATCGAGGAGATCGCGTGGGTTCGTATACAGTGATGCGGTCACGCAGATATGCGAGTCCCAAACCGTTTAGGGCTTTGTAGGTAAGCACCTGCACCTTGATTTGGGACCGGAAAATGAATGGCAGCCAATGGAGCTCCTTAAACAGGAGGGTTGACCGTTTCACAAGCCTTCTCTGCCAAAAGAGTACTAATGGGCGGAGTGTCCCTACTTCACAGATTTTCACTTATCGCGGGTGCTCCTGGAACAGAACACCGGCAATAAGTGAGGGAACACTGTGTGTGTGTAATAATAATAACATGGCTGGAGTTAACACTTAAAATATTGTACCTGTTCCAACTTATAGAACCATAGAATCCTAGAGTTGGAAGAGGCCTTGTGGGCCATCCAATCCCATTCCGTCTGGAAGTAGAAAAATTGCATTCAAAGCACCCATGACAGATGGTCATCCAGCCTGTTTAAAAGCCTCCAAAGAAGCCACCTCCAACACACTATGGGACGGAGAGTTCAACTGCTGAACAGCTCTCATAGTTAGGAAGTTCTTCCTCATGTTCAGGTAGAATCTCCCATCCTGTAGTTTGAAGCCTAGTCTCCAGGGCAGCAGAAAACAAGCTTCACGTATTTATACATGGCCCTCACCATGTTGCCTCTCAGCCATCTCTTCTGCAGGCTAAACATGCCCAGCTCTTTAAGCCACTCCTCATAGGGCTTGTTCTCCAGACTCTTGATCATTTTAGTCACCCTCCTCTGGACACATTCCAGCTTGTCAACATCTCCCTTCAGTTGAGGTGCCCAGAATTGGACACAGTATTCCAGGTGTGGTCTAACTAAGGCAGAATAGAGGGGTAGCATGACTTCCCTGGTTCCAGACACTAGACTCCTATTTATGCAGGCCAAATTCCCATTGGCTTTTTAAGCTGCCACATGACATTGTTGGCTCATGTTTAAATTGTTGTCCACGAGGACTCCAAGATTGCTCCATGTTTTATTCTCCAGGGCAGCAGAAAACGAGATCATCCACTCCTCAATGGGACATCTTTTCAAACATAGCTATAATGTCACCTCTCAGGCTTCTTTTCTCCAAGGTAAACACGGCCCATTTCCTCACCTGTTCCTCAAAGGGCATGGCTTTGAAATTTTTGATCATTTTTATTGCCCTCCTCTGGACACCTTCCAGCTTGTCAATATCCCTCTTGAATTGTGGTTCCCATAACTGGACACAGTGCTATTCCAGGGGAGGCTTGACCAAAGCAGAACAGAGAGACACCACGACTTTCCATGATGTAGACACTATACTCTTTTTGATGCAGCCTAGAATCCCATTTTTTGGCTGCTGCGTCACATTGTTAATTCAAGGATGTAGGCATTTTCTGTCTTATAATAAAAGAAACATGCTAGTTTTGATTTCAAGTCTGGAAATAATGCCAGAATGTAAACAAAAATAATAAAGAATAACTTCAGATCCTGATATTACTTATCCTAGAGCAGTGGTTCCCAGCCTTACTTGACCAGGGACCACTTTAACCAGGGACCACTCTCCAACATTAGTACCAAAATGATTACGAATAAATTTTTGTTCAACTTTAGATTTAGTTTGGTTATTTGGAGTGCCGATTCAGAAAATTGCATTGGATAGACCACATCAGCTCAAGTTTCTGATTCAGAACACATGCCATCCTGTAGTCGCTATCTGCTTCCCACAGAAAACCTCAGCACTGTAAGAGGGTTTCATGAGATCAGTCGCTTTCATTGTAATGGTGAGGCCACGGACCATATTTTAGTTCTTGCAGATCACTGGTGGACCACGGATCACAGGTTGGGAACAACTGCCTTAAAGTCACCGAATAGCAGGTAGTAGATACATACATTCTAAAAGTAAAGTACATTAAACTCTGTACCGAACAAAAAGATGCAAGCTAAGCCTCTTTTTGGGTGGGAAAAGCAATGCCGTGTAAGTGTTAAGAAAGAATAATAGAGCTAGGTAAAGGGCACGTACATACATCTCCAACATTGGAAGACAAGAGAACAAGTGCACACTCCTCTCTGTGACAGTCCTTGGGGTGTTTAAAGAGTATAATCATGACACTTCCCAGTCTTCCCTTCACTAAGCAGAACAAGTCCCATTTACAGGGTGTGCAGGTTGAATCTTATTACTATAAAAGTTGATCATCAATTAACTTGAATTCTGAAATATTCCCAAAACTGTCCATATAGGTGGCTGAGGTAGTGGCCCCTTTGCTTTCTGTTAGTTCAATGTACGCAAATGTATTGCATAACTACATTTCATCAAGGCTCATCACTTCATCTCAAAAGGTGTAGAGAAATGGACTTTTAAGTAAGTGATGGGAAAAGCAGTGGACACATCTGGCCAGCAAGGCAGGATTGGAAAGAAACTGAAGAAGTGTAGTCAGTGGAGATAAACTGAAGAAACACGTGGTTATTGCCTTGGAAGCTAACATATGAGGATATAACCCAGTTTTTAGCAGATTGCTCTTGTGCATGCTCCAGAGAATTCTACTTCTCTGTACTTGTGTTTATCTGCTCTGTGTTTCTTTCCATTCTGTTTCACAGGATGACCTCAGATTCTGTTATTATGAAAGAGGGAGAACAGCTTTTTCACCCATCCATGGAGAACTTTGCAGACTTTTATCATGTCCCCTCTCATCTTTCTTTTCAAGCTAAACACTTGTTGCAGTCCTTGAACAAAAACATTACAAAGGGATACTAGAGAAACAGCGGCATTGAATTACCTTCACAAATTCCAATCCATTAGCAGAGGTAAGAACAAAGACAAAGGCTTCATGGCACATGAATATATTCAAGAGTCCTTGCTAGTGCACATATAACAAAACAAATATTTTCCCAGGGAAACTGACTTTTGATAAGCAGATTTATGGTGTTCACACATCAACACTAACAGGCTACTGTAAGGATTTGAACATTTTTGAATCCTATTCTATCCCACTCTCACAGTGATATAAATATGTTTAATACCTGAAGGCTTAATATTACTTGGCACAATATTTGAAGACATGGGTTTGTACCCATGAAAGCTCATGCTAAAATAAAAACCAATTAATCATAAGGGTGCCACATACCGTATTTTCCTCCCCCTTCTTTTCAAACATTTTGAATTCTTAAAAAATTAAACATCACCACTACTGTACAAAGTATGAGTCCATTTGGTGGAAAGCCCCTGTGTAACACATACCTTGGCTGCAAAGTGGACTGTAGTTACAATTCACATGCTCTAAGCACGATTTATTTTTGATCAGTGATTACAGCACAAAGTGCATTACTATTTTACTGCCATTCTCCATCTGGGGAAATCTTTTTGAAGCTCTTTAGGATGCTTTTCTTCAAAGCATCCTAATAATTTGGTTTCATCAGCAAATAATGGCCACTTCACTTCCATTCATCCCTGAGCTAAATTTTTTCTGTTCGTTTGTGTGACATCATAACTCAAAATCCGCTGGACGAATTGCTGCCAAATTTGGCCACAAAATACCTACTAACCCAAGGAGTGACCATCACTAAAAAAACAAAAACAACCCCAATTTTGTCATTTGGGAGTTGTAGTTGCTGTAGTTCTCATTTCAATTGTCTTTTTGACTATCCATATCTGCAGAATTCTCCTTCAGTACATTTCAAATGAGTCAGTCCTCTTCCATTTTTCATTTTCTAGGTCTCATGATGTAGTGAATCCACTACTAGTTAGATGTAGTGAATCCACTACTGACAGAGTGGGTGGAGCCTAACTTGGAAAAAGAAAAAATGATCTTTGAGGGAAGGTTTTGAAAACCCTATCAGGGAGATTGGCTCGGGGTGTTGAAAAGATAGGTTCTGTTGTTTTGGAGAGTCAGGTAGACTCTGGTTTTAGGGGGGGTAGGTTAGTATAGTATTCAGAAGGCTATTAGAGAAAAAATAGCTGGAATACTGAAGTGGAGCAGATCTTAGGGAGAGGACTGTTCGTAGTCAAATAAGTCTAGTCAGTGCGAAGACTGCTAGATTCCTGTGGAGGAAGAGTGAAGTGTTTATGTGTAACCAAGAATGTTTACGAATTCTACTGTTTAAAGTAACCACAAGCTTTTAGTGTCAATACTTTGAAACAGCTAAGCTTTGTACCTGATTTATTCAAGTTCTTTCAATAAACATCATTGGTTTGTTATTCACAACATCTGCCTCACGTGAGCCTCTGTGTAGAAAGATTGAAAGCAGTTTTATTGAAGATTTTCTAAATAAGTTAGAGAATCACCTCAGCATATTACTTTTACTGGTGGCAGCAGCATGAAGTTTATTCTGCCTCTAACAAATTCAAGTTAAATGTCCTAAGCCTCTTTACATATGACAATAAACAGAAATAGGAAATATTATGGCACATAGAAAAGTCTGAATTTGGTATTTAATTATAGACTTTTACACTGGAGGATCTCATCTAGTTCCTTCATAGCTTACTAGCTTAGTCTTTTATCTGATTTCTTGACTATGAAGTGAAGGGGCAGTAAATCTTAATACTGATGCTATTCACTTTTGGGTTAAATAAAACTTATGTGGTAATTACTTTTGGATTTGGTGTCCGAGTTCCATCAAAAGACGTCTGGAATTCAAAGTAAGCAACCTCAGCTACTCAACAGACAAGCTTAGTGGCACTCAAAAGAACTTTTACAAGTTAATGATGTAATTCTACATAAACCAGATTGTATTTCAAATGTGGGCTGCTCTTCTATATGGTTCAAGATTGTAACCTTCATGGTAAACTAGTGAGAAGTATTATTTAAGGTTACAATCTTGAACCATATAGAAGAGCAGGCCAATAATTTACTATACCCACTTTTAAAAAAATGTATCGGCCAATCTCCAGTTGTCTCTACAGAGGCTGACCTGAGACAAGTTACATATTTTGATATGAGATCAACAATTTTGCATTCACAAACTCTCATGTAGATAAAATGTGTATCCTGTTATCTTCAGCTTGTCAACATGGTTGAGAACAGAAGTGGGATAGTACCACCTGCGTGCAGTTCCCCAGGGCCATTTTGATACCTCCAAGTGCCCACAAGCTTCCCCTTTAGTTTTGGAGGTCTCCACAAATATTTTTGAACCTCAAAATGCAAATACACTTCCAGGGTGATACTGCCATTTCTCTGATATTTTTGTCCTCATTTTTTTAAAAGATGCATGCAGGTCTAAAAACAGGAGAGGATGTGTATGCTTAAGTCATCAACAGAACACAGGAGCATCTAGAATCTTTTGGAGAGTATGACTATTGGCCATTTAAAGACAACATAAATTGGAGGACCCCGCAATATTGGTGTGGGGCAGAAGGGTGAAAATGGTGTGCATCACAGGTGGCTAGAGAGTAATGTGACCTCCCGTTTTTCACAGCTGATTACTCTTGGTCTAGAACTCCAGTAGAGTTCAGTAGAGTCTCTTCTTCAAAGTATCAACTGAGGCATATATAACAATCTTATACTTTCTACAATTAAGACAATTGAAATACATTCATCCACCTTCTATGTAATCTCCTTACATCAGTAGTTCTTAATCTTTTTTTGACCAGGGAACACTTGAATCATAGAATCAAAGAGTTGGAAGAGACCTCATGGGCTATCTAGTCCAACCTCCAGCCAAGAAGCAGGAATATTGCATTCAAATCACCCCTGACAGATGGCCATCCAGCCTCTGTTTGAAAGCTTCCAAAGAAGCCACCACACTCCGGGGCACAGAGTTCCACTGCTGAACGGCTCTCACAGTCAGGAAGTTCTTCCTCGTGTTCAGATGGAATCTTCTGTCTTGTAGTTTGAAGCCATTGTTTCGTGTCCTAGTCTCCAGGGAAGCAGAAAACAAGCTTGCTCCCTCCTCCCTGTGGCTTCCTCTCACATATTTATACATGGCTATCATATCTCCTCTCAGCCTTCTCTTCTTCAGGCTAAACATGCCCAGCTTCTTAAGCTACTCTTCATAGGGCTTGTTCTCCAGACCCTTGATCATTTTAGTTGCCCTCCTCTGGACTTGACCAGGGACTACTCTCCAACATTAGTACCAAAAGGGTTAGGAATTGGTTTTGGTCAACTTTAGATTCGTTTTGCAGAAAACTACATTAGATAGACCACATCAACTCTAGTTTCTTACACAGAAAATATGCCATCCAGTCGTTGCCATCTGCTCACCCACAGAAAACCATTTTTAATAAGCCTTAGCACATTAGAGGGTTTTGCAATGGTGTAGTAATTATGAGGCCCCAGACTATATTTTAGTTCTTGCGGAACACTGGTGGTCCACGGACCACAGATTAGGAACCACTGCCTTAAATAATCATATAATTTTATTATCACTAATTGTTACGGATGCCTTCCTTGTCAAGCTCCTGCTCCAGATGTATTTCAAGAATTCTTTATTGCTGTTCTTGATGCTATATGATACTTGATTGTTGTTATAAGTATTAATATTATAATAAAACTTTATTTGTATACTGCTCTATCTCCCCAAGGGGACTCAGGGACAGTGTAGTGGATTCAACCTATCCCACCTTAGCCATTAAGTGATCCTGTATTTGTTTTATTTTCCATTATGTTGTAAAAGGTTTTACATTTTTCAAAAAAAGAGAAAAGGATATACTTATACAAAAATGTAGTATTCCGTGATTTTTCATTTACATATCACTAAAAAGGTACCTATCTAAGAATTCCAGTTTAAAATAAGGCAGAACAATTGACTCCTCCCCCAACCCTTTTCCCCAACCAGAATTTTGTCCAAAATATACACACGGGCTTTTAAAATGGCCATTCATTAAAAGTTTTTATATTTCTTTATTGTAACTGAAAAACTGTACATAAAAGGAGCTGTAAAGTTACATTTGTCAAAACCAATGTAAGAAATATTTTCTCTGCCCAACTTAAAGGGAGTGCAACATTTTACATTTCATAAAGTGACAAAAAGTAAACTATAATGAATAGAATTTTGGTTTGTATCAACAGTACAAAGTCAAGTTGGATTTTTAATAGCATGGCAAAAAAGGAAAACCCCTTTCAAATGAAAAATCATATAGTTTTATTTCTAATCTTTAAAAAAATATAAATGAATTTAGAAGAGAATCACAGTATACGGGCTCTAAACGTTTTAAACCATTACAATGTACATAAAAATAGACACAGATTCCTTGGAAACTTTAATTCTTTGATTAAGCAGCAAGCATATCACTCTTCCAGGCAAAAAACACTGCTTAACACAACCCCCTACCCAAAACAGGACGTGCAAGCTGTATGCACATAATCTGGAAAGCACACAATTTTTTTTTAAAAGGACAACATTTTGCTATGTACATATTCAGTACTACAAATGCTAAACATTTCGTTACTTTGTGGCATAGCGTATGTAAAGCAATATTACACTACATACCTATCTCACCCAAAAACACAACTGCCCAGTTACGGTTTGATAGTCTAAAATTGCCATCTGCATGGCAGCACCCAACCTTCTGTATACGGAAGTTCTAGCGACAAGAGACAAGACAAAAAGTTAGCAAAAAAGGACAATACAGTCACTGGGAGACCTGATCTACATACTTAAATACTGAAAATGCATCGTTAATAGTTTGGTATTTAAAGAGTTATGCCAAAATGTACAAACAGGTTTGAGAGAATGGATAAATTCAGAGGGTTAATGCTGACCTTAGAACCAAAGTTCTAACGTCATAAAGTACCAAGAATTCTGGCAAATGACAGCATTGCATTTCTTCCTGTGAAAAGCCAGTATTGAAAATCAAATATCGTGACTAGAGAGAGAGTACAAAGGGACATTGTATGTAATATACTACAAACTAAAGGAAGACCTATTGAAATAAGATTTCTTTTTTAAATTAAAAATTGAAAGTCAATGGCTAATTCCATTTAATGGCTAAGTCTAAAAGTTGTGACACTCAAAACTGTGAAATGCAGTACATAAAAGGTTGGTACAACTTTGCTGCACATGAAATCACCTTAAACTTTGAATGTTAAAACACCACTACTCTGTAGAAAGTGGAGAAGTCAGTTGGGCACTAAAGGAGAAATGCACATGTTTTCATGGAGGCAAAAGGCTTCAATAGCTTTGCATTTCTCACTCAAAATGAAGCTAAGCAACCTAATGCTGAGATGCAATTGTTTCCTGATTTAAGTAAAGCATGATTTGGTATCTGTTTTATAATACCAAATAAAAAAGGGGAAATAGGGGATGCTCTGGCAAGGAAAACCAAAAACGGCCTAAGACAGCCTGAGAATGAAACAATGCCATTCTTAACATTTGACTGTTTCCACAATGATGTTGCAGCTGCAGAATTAAGCAGGCCATTCCTTGCTAATCCTTATTGCCAGATATTAGATAATAGAATAAAATTTCAGATAAAAAGTTATACTACAAAGATTATTTTTAAAAGACGGCAATTTCTTTGTTGGACATAAAAGCAATGATGCTGGCTCATCCATTGCTTAACACAGATCTTGCACTGGCAAATCATGCTTCCAGTATCAGAAGACAAGAAATATAGGTTTAAGCTATTTTGTACCATAGTTTTGCAAATCTTCTATGAGACGTTTCCTACAGGTATACTGAAGGAAAACAATTTATAAAGAAATCTAGAAAATACGAGCCTAAAAATGTATGATTAGATCATCTGTCAAAATCTGAATGGCAGGTTTGTAATGCTTGTGCTCCTAACATAGGAAAATGTAAAAATAATTTCCCCAATATATCAGGTTTACACAGCCCACTTCAAAACTGAAGTTGAAACTCTTACCCTCTCCAGATGGTTGGTTTCCATGTAGCTGAATAGAAATAATTTTATAAAATAAATAAGAGTAAAAATCAGTTGAAGTCTTAGTGCATGGAGCCTTTTCTTTTCTAAAGACATTAGCTGTGCCAAAAAGGCTGACATCGTAGACATGGTTTTGCTGTAACAATCTACTGCATGAAGTTTCTTTCATACAGATGGCCATTCATTAATTTCTCTTTTGCGTAAGACTGCTCTTTTGCGTAAGACTGGCTTAAATACTATGAAAAGGTTTTCTTTCCCTCCCCTCCCTACTTCAGGAAAAATAGACACTGATACCATTTTGCTGTCTGCCATAGTTCCTGCCTTACGTCTTTAGTGCAGAGGTGACTGTGATTCTGTCTGGATTCCAATAAGCGACGGTGGCTGTGGGCCACCGGTGGAAGATAATGCTGGTCTTGGGTTTAGACGAGGAGGCATGGAATTAGCTGGGCGGATAAGCGGCGGAGGGGGTTGGTTGAGGGTTGGCCGTGGCTGAATAAACCGAGCCTGTTGCTGAAGTGGCGGAGGCTGACGATGGAGAGCTGGAGCTGCTGGGAGGGTGGGACGAAGTAACGGAGGAGGCTGGTTCAATGTGGTTGCAGGGGTTGCTGGTGTTGGAGCAGGTGGCTGGACAGGCGGAGAAGGCCCTAGGCACTGAGGGGTTGGTGGAACCGGAGCCTATAAATGAAAGTGATACAGATATGTAAAAGCAGCCACCCTGTTTGGGCTGTCACCCAGAATGAGGGAAATACAGTTAGTTTATCCACACTGGAGGCCATGATACCCTTCCTTGAAAGTAAACATTTCTAGCAGCTTAATAACAAAAGAAAAATATCAAGTACTTTAAAAAGAAAAGTAAATAAAGTTTTTTTTTTTTAAAAAAAATCAGCATTGCTTAGTGGTTTTTTTGTCAATTTTTTCTTTCACAAACTGTGGTAAGAGAAAGGGGCAGCCCAGTTCTCTAAACTTTCTGTTACCACAAGCCCCATTGAATGAATGGTGCACGGTCAGTAGGTGACTCTAAGTACCAAGATATTACAAGCTTCCTCAGCTGGTGGCTCAGCATTCCACTTCAAGTTAAATATTACATTTTACGATATGAAGTTTAATGCCATTTCTGAACTCATGCTTACTAAAGATCAGGTACATAAAAACACACCTCATCTTCTTCATCAGTGCTCTTTCCTGATGGCACATTAGTATTTTTTGTGTCCTCCCCTAAAGCAGAGGCATCACCATTAGAAGCCAGGGTTCCTTGTTCTGCTTCCCACTCCTGCAATACCTCCTCTAAGTTAAACCGACGCCTGTAGTTTACAAAGAAGTTCTTCACTTGACCAACAGTCTTGTTGCCAATTACATCAGCAATAGCTTGAAAATCTTTACCATATTTGCGGACACCTAAAAAGGCAAAGCAAATACACCTATGAAGGTTCAGGTCAATAGCAGAAATTTGTATGATGCATATATGCAGAGATGCCCCTGTGGCTAATCCACCCAAGAGTTTACAGAATAATCAACTACTTGGCACTATGATCAAATGGTGCCTGAACAAACAGAATAAAATATCAACAGAAACTTTAAAGTCAAATTCTAGCTATGAATGCATGGGTAACACTAGTTTCAGCTCCTTGAAATCCGCATGCTGTTTCCAAACAAAAATGGATTTTTACAGGAAATGAAAAATAATTAGACATTTTCATCCCTCTTATGGATTCCTATTTACTTTTGTTTCTCTTTTAGAAGAACACTCAGGATATTGTTGTTGAGCTCCAAATTCTACAGATTTAAGTTTTGTTCAAGAGTGTATATGCTTACTGAACACGTTAACAAAACAGTAATGTTCTGCTGGAATGGATAAAGGATGTATGAACAATTAAAGAAATCAGAATCCAGAATTCCCACAAAATACCCAAACTATAAAGTTCTCCCATGAATTCAACAAGACATATTGCCCAAACAGTTGTGAAACTGGACCACAAAATGAACATTTAAATAATTACTCTCCCACTCCTTTCATCTTCAGCAATCCCGATCTAATTATTTTATTTATTTATTTATTTATTTATTTATAATTCAAGCTAAGAAATTCTCCTTTCCTTATCTATTTTCCAGATGAACACTGATTTTGAGGAATTCAGTTGATTCCCCATATCTCTACATTCTGGTCAACCGTGTCTTATGAACTATTAATCTTTTGAGGAATATATAGAAAAATAAAAGTTGGGAACATACCTTGTTGAAGTAATCAGTCTATTTTAGTATGTAAGTCCGTCTGTCTCTGTGTTGTGAAATGTTATAATTTGTAAACTAAAAAAAGATTGTTTGCACCAGCATTGAATTAGGATTAAGTCACAAAGTGATTTTTGCCCTCCTTAATCATCTTGCTCAAGATGTGTTAAGTTTTCTAATTACTCCTACACCCATCTAGCTCTATTCTGTTCAAATACCTATTACAAACTTTGTGTGTAGTTGCTTTTGAAGTCTGTTTAGGCAATTCAGTTGGCCAAAGGAGCTGGAGCCAGGTTAACCATGGCTGGTTACATGCAACATACGAGTTCCTCTGTGTCTCACTTCTCTCTCTATTTGTGTCTTCTTTTTCTCACCTTTCCTTCTGGTCGGGACATACAAAACCTTAATATTGTGCAATTGACTGAATTTGCCACTGTGCCTGCTGATTGTCCTATTATACAATGAGGAATGCACAGTGGCCATTTTTGCAATCTCAGTGAACAAAGTAGTAACACTGGCACTAGCAAATATTACATATGTGTTGTTGAAGGCTTTCATGACCGGAATCACTGGGACTGTAAGATATTTTCTGCGACAGCCCATTTTATTCCCATTCATATGCACAAACATACACACTTCCAGTTTTTACTTTTATCACTGAAGGATTTGATTAAAAATATTCTCTCTAGGACTCTTGGTCCTCCACTGGGACTCTAGGGTTAGCTTCCTCCTGTCAAGCTGAAGGATGTAAAAAATTCTAGGGAGAAGACCTCTATAGCATCCAGTGGATGTTGACAATACAGCCATGCTGGAAGACACACAAATTCCTATAGAGGTGTTCTGTCAGTGGAAAAAATATTAACAAATTTCTTTATTCAAATTTCTTTATGCCCTTAACTCCAGAGAATGTGGAGTGCAGACTGTATTTTTAGAGATGATTCCTATGTTTGTATTTTTCCCTCTGGTATGCCTATCCATTGGTATTAATTATTTTTATAAATCACAGAGTAGACAGCATTCTTTGCATTGCTCTTTGAAAGTTGTCATGTTATGATCTAGATATAATGTTCTTCTAAACCAGTGGTTCTCGACCTGTGGGTCCCCAAACGTTTTGGCCTTCAACTCCCAGAAATCCTAACAGCTGGTAAACTGGCTGGGATTTCTAGGCCAAAACACCTGAGGACCCACAGGTTGAGAACCACTGTTCTAAACAGAAAAGATGGCAACATATCAATTCTTTAAGTATTATTTAGCTTTTTAAAACACTCTAGCTAGGAAAAAATAAAAATGCTAATGTACCTTGAACTGCAAGAAGCTGTTCTTCTGTTGTCCAACGAGCATTGATTTTTTGATTTGACTATTAAGAAAGACAGATAGACAAAAAGAAAAGATCAACCTTTCTGAGAACTACAATAGAAAATTTAAGCCAAAACCACCAAGTTTCAATTCTAATTAGAATTTGTATTGTATAACACAGCAGCTTTCTTTTCAAAAGGAACTGGTGGGAGATATTAGTCAGGAACAGAAATAGATTATAATGAGTACATTATTGATGCAAAAATATAAGATTGTCTTCACTGGAAATAAAGATTGATGCTAAAGCTTCAGTGGAGACCCCTTTTCTCCATGATAACTCTTACAGGAGGCAATTTCCCTTCTGAGGGGTAGACTTCCTCTCACTACCTGTTGTCTCATCCCAATTTGTAACTAGGAGTCATATGTAGGTTGGATGTTTGCAACTTGGGGACTGACTGTATTTCAATACTGAAAAGAATTAGCTTCTCTCACAGGGACTGGCATGCATACTTGGAATTTTAATGTGGAGTTAATCACTGCAACCACAAGCAAGAGAATGAATGGAAGTAATCCTTTCCAAAGGTCTAAAATTAATCTTGTTATACGTCATGTCTAGATTACTTGCCTTCTTGAACATGAAAGTGACTAAATCTTGCTTTGGCATTCCTCACATTATTTATTTATTTGTTATTAATTAATCAATTTCATTTGTATACTGCTTTACTCTACCCCAAGGGGGACTCAAAGTGGCCCACAACAAGTAAAAGTCAAAAGTCAATGCCTCACAAAGTATAAAACACAATAAATAGCTAAACTATTTATGCCCAATATTGTTAATTGAGGCTACAAAGTATAAAAGCAATATATTTAAACTTCAAACAGCATATATTCTGGTCCTGGTAAAATTCATATTAACTTTAATATTGCTGAAAGACACTACAGGTTAGAATAACTTTGGAATGTATTACAATGTCATGATAAACGGTAGGCAACTTTGCTTCCACCACACAGAAAGCTTCTGAAAATTCACCTGCATTTCCCATTTACTTACCTCAAGAGGTTTGAATTCTTCTATGCCACCTTCAATTTTCTGCTTAAGTGCACTATTAACTTGTTTAGCATTCTGCACCTTGAACAAGAAACAAGAAATTAGGAATAAAAATTAGCTTTAAAAATGATATATATTAAGTGACTGGCTGGTAAGACAAACCAAACTCTCTGAGGTGAGAGAACACTTCTGAAGAGATCAACTCTTCCTGTGCAAGTCGAATATCCATCTGCTTCCACAGACTATGCACAAGAAAAGGTTGTCTGTAACTATGGCTCTATGAATCATCACTGTGAAGTCTGACAGTCATTCTGCACCTCTGGAAGCTTCTAGAGCTGCATTTTGACACTCCCCCACCTGCCCCTTCATTCACACATATTTAATCCAAGCATTCCCACTGAAACTCGGTTCTACGTCTGCATGCATGGAGAAGAGATAGCATGAGGGGAGGGCATAGGGCCCATTTGGTACCAGAACCAATAGCACTTATTTGTCCTCCAAGGAGGCTTGAAGAGGGGTCAAAGTGGTCTGGTTCACTAAGTAATTTGGCTGTGACTCCATGGCCAAAGATGGGTATAAGCAGATAACTTATGAAACCATATTAAGTGGGCCAGTCTGGAAGGTAATTTCCCAATGAAGAGCCTTAGGATAGGAAGTCCTGTTATGCCTCACATACGGTGCAAAAGTCTGGCAAAAGGGCACAAATTAACTGTGTTGTCTACAACTGAGCAGAGGAGGCAATACACTGACGGTCAGAAAGTGGGATCTTCGCGCCACAGTTTAGACACGTCTCAAAGAAAGGTCTTTGGGGCCACAAGCCCTCAGAATTGAAAGAATGAATCCATGAATACCAAATGACAAAACACTGAAGCTTCCTAACGATAAGACACATGGCTTATACATATGTGACCTAGTGTGCAGGGTTACTGTCAATATGCAGGTGCAGAAGCTTCCAAACTTCAGAAGGCCTGCTATGTGTAAATCACAGAGACTACAAAGAAGAAATATCATTACTAGCACCTTGGCAAACGCTTACAAGAGATTTAGCGATTTGGGTTGGAAGGTGGAGGCAAAATTTTCATATACTTATCCAGAGGCAGGCAGCTTTTGCAAGTCTGGGGTGGCATTCCCATCCTAAACCTAAAAGCAGGATCACTGTAATACTAACTTTTGACTTGCAAATTGGCATTGCAGCAGTGAGATAAGGAGCACTTTCTCTTGAACTATGCTGTTTCTTCTTTTAAAGATGATGTGAAATCCACGCATACCTTGTTTACAAATAGATTCATGTTCAGAGAAGTGTAAATCTACTTGGAAACAAACGGCATGGAAAAAGCATGCCTTCTTAAAAACAAGACAATGTTTTTAAAATGAGAGTGCTGTTTTTCTTGTCACTGTGTCTGGGCAATGGCAATGGAAGACACTTAGAGATTCAGGAGACCAGAGGACTGTATGCAAACCATGTATCCTGCAAAACTGAAAATCTGGGCCACTTGTCTTAGCTAGGAAAGGTATTTTGGACACTAACCATCTCTTCTGTGAATTTGGTCATTACTGGCTATGGAATTAGAACCTCTACCTTCATCTTAGTGCCTTGTGATTTTTAGCATGCCTGTGCTATTTTGATTAGTAACTGCAATAGATCTGGAAATTACAAATAAATAACTAGCTGCCTTGAGTCCTTATGGGGAGGAAGGCAGGATAGGAATAAAGTAAATAAATAAATAACTGCTACAGGGCTGAAATTATAAATGTAATGGTAAAACTTCAGAAATAGAACTAGTACTCAGGGCTGCCTCCCAATCTCACGATAAAATTGTATGTGTTAACTATATTGTAAATGCTCTCTTCCTATTAATTCCAAGGGACTGTCAAAAACGATCAAAAGCTAGAATTCAACAAAAAAGCTTCAAAACAACACGGAGATACATTCATTCCTATTTCAAAACGGGTACTAATATAAATCTAGAAACTCTCAGGAAAACCTTGCTAAGTTCTCAGCTTACACCTTTCCAGAAGTGCTTTAGGACTCTGCTTTTGTTACTTTTAGTAACAAGGATTGCACACATTAGCCAAAGTTTAACCTACAATCACACTTTAATGGAATTGTTTCAGCTTATCCATATTACTGAACAAAGCACAGAGAAATAGCCAGAAATCTAAAAACAGGTAAGAAAAAAAACACCTGATTGAAATACCTGACGCTTCAGCGATATTAATTCCATATCCAACTGCCTAAGAAGTGTATTTGCTGCATTGGGACTACAAGAAACTGCTACTACGTCTTCTTGCGTTAAGTACATGCCTTTGGGAGGACGACATTTAGAACGCTGGGAGTGATGACGATGTTGTAAACTCTGATATTCTCTTCTGCCCAATCCGATTTTGCTAGTTTGAACAGGTTGTTCATTAGTTCCCTAAAGTGTTCAAAATTTTAAAAAAATTAAACACCAGAGATGTAAATAAATTCAATAAAAGGGGTATTAGTTCTTGCAGCTCAAAAAGAAACATTAGAATTTAGTATGAATTTAGTTTAAATCTTAAAGTTGTACACTAACCTTCTACATCTCTGTTCAGAGTCCCTCTTAATGTATGTGTCAGATGGGGTTAAGGTGGGATTGGCCTAAGTTAAATATAACAAACCTATAGAACCTCAGATGTTATTGGGGCTACAATTTTAGTCAAATTTCAACCTGACAAGAAGTGAGAGCGATTACTCTCACTTTTTGTGAGGTTGAAAGTAATTTATAAACCTCTGGAGAACTGCAGGTTTCTCATATCTCAGCTAGGCAGTGAAGTCAGACAGTTCTAACGACTGGGAGTGGCTACTGCCACATCAAAAAAGAACACGACTATTCTTCTGCTAGATTTTTCTCATAAGCAAAGACAACTGGGAGTTAAAATACACAAGACATTAAAATGTAGTATGCTTCTAAGCTTTTCTTTTTAAAAAATCAGTACATACTTAGGAGCCTTATCTGCACTGTGCTCAGATAGTTTATGCAGAGGTTAAAACACACCATGTAGTTTACCTCTGAAAAATCTAAGTAGAAACAAAGATGGATAAGGAATTCCTGGCAAAAATCTTAGAAACAAGAAAGATGGCTTGATAGTACGCCAAGTTTCCTTAGTTCTTCCAAGTTCCAACCTCATAATTTCCCCCATTAACCTCCATCACTGCAACCAAAGAGTAGGCAAATGCAAAATTTCTAGGGGACAGTTTTCTGATCTTAGGACCCCATGAAAGGCAGCCAAAAACTCCAAGCAAAATTAACAGTACCAATGAAGGAGAGATCATTACTTTTTAAAAAATGTGTTCTGAAAAAAGTAAACAGTACAGGGAGTCTCTGCATCAGGAAAGGTAATTTATCCAGTTCCATTTTTGGCTAGAAAAGGGGCAGTCTGGAGATGAGTGGGTCAACGACTGGGGGAAAAAAGCAAATAATGTGGGTAGTTTACTTTAAGTGTTCATTACCTCTTTTTTAGTTTCCTTCTTGGGGTCATAATCACTATCATTTCCATCCATTGGATGTGATTCTTCCACATCATCATCACTGAAGACAGAAATAGATTAGTGAGCTTTCCTCACTTTTAATGCTTGACTGCAAAAGTAACTATTGCCTTTTTTGTATATTTTTCATACTAACAACTCACAACTAATATGCAACTAGCAAAAAGAGAAACAGACTCTTACAAAATCAACCCATTTAATGATTTTTTAAACATTAATTCAAGAAACATTAGAATTCTATATATGAATAGTATGGGTATCAAATTTAATTGCAAATAAAAGAAATGACAACATACCCATATTCAAGATGTATTCAAACATTGCCTTTAATAAATATTTATTTTAATTAATTAATCTCCCCCCCCCCCCCCCCCCCCCCCCCCCCCCAAGCCAGTCCACTTAAAAAAATCTTTTTTGGTGAGATCTTGTGAGTTTGAGGAGCTTCTAGAGGAATTCCCAAAGGCCGCATTAGGGGTCCCATAGGTTGCATGCCGGTTGAGACCTTTAATTATTAGCCTTGACTCATTCCCAGACTAATCCAATAAACATGATAGGGGATGGCTATTTGCCTCTACACAATCATATTCAGCAAAAGGGTTTAGGGAAAAGAACAAGAACTTCTGCCATCCAAATTCTTTAATTGCAGCTTTTTTGTTTCTACACTATGAGCCTGGAATGAGAAGAGGTTCAGAAGTCCCAATTCGATTAAAAAGGGTAGTAATAGCTTGGAAACAGAAATATTGGTCATCATATTCCACCACTATAAATAGAGGCAACTGTGCATAAACATACTGTGGAGAAGCTGTCAACCACTATGTATGGGTGTATTCAAATAAGCTATAATGTGAATCACCTTGAAATATTTCTACACATATGTTTTTTATGTTGTCGAAGGCTATCATGGCCAGAATCACTGGGTTGCTGTGAGTTTTCCAGGTTGTATGGCCATGTTCCAGAAGCATTTTCTTCTAATGTTTTGCCCACATCTATGGCAGGCATCCTCAGAAGTTGTGAGGTTACCATGTACATTCCACAGATATATAAACCCCATTTCTTAGTTTCCAACAGACATCACAACCTCTGGGGATTCCTGCCACAGATGTGGATGAAACGTCAGAAGAGAATGCTTCTGGAACATGGTCATACAGCCCGGAAAACTCACAGCAACCCAGAAGTTTTTTTCCCCTGAGCCAACAGGACATCATTATGATAACACTAGTTATAACATTTCAAAGATTCCTCCCCTTTCTTCAGAAGTCCAGAATCTTCAGTCCATTTATTTTGTACAGTTAATGTAGTGTGTTTTTATGTGTATGTTTCGTGAGAGATAGAGACAGAGATTCCTTCAGTTTCTACATGCTGTATCTGGAGAGTCTTTGTGTGTGTGAGAGAGTGTGCATACTGTTATCAATAGGAAAAGCTTACAAAATTGACTGTTTCTATAATTTTGCTAAATCTAACTGATGAAGTGTAAGGCTTCTTTCTAATGTACCAACAATCTGCTACTAATCTAGAAGTAGCAGGAATCTAACAACACAGAATAATAATCAGAGCAAAAGAAAAAGTAAACAGACACAGGAATTTCTATGTATCCACAAACCAGTATTTTAAAGAAGATACAATGTTTCTTACCTGTCACCTTGATTATTTCTATTAGCCAATTTCCTAGCCTGGCGGTCCATTAAACTTGTCCTAGAACGGGTTTTCTTCCAGGAGTAGTAATATTTTACTAGGCTGGCAATAGTCTTGTCTGGAAGCTAAAGCATTCCAAAACAATATGTAGACACTGGTTATAAATTCTATGAATGAAATATGGTAGAACTTTAGTATTTTCTCAGTTTATAATGAAGTGCATCAAAGATTTAGTCTCCTAGAACAAGACCATAAAAGCTTCTTTTAAAAAAACTGGAGCCCTAACTTTAAAAAAAAATAGAACAATATTGCAAAGCTTTAAAAAAGATCAGAAAAAATGCAAAGCCACCTGGAATCTCACTTTTGAGGGAAAGGTGGCATATAAACAAAGTGACTGGCTGATCTGAAATTAAAATGTGTTCAAATTATATTAATCGTGCCCTTTCCAGTACAAATAAAAGTTATTTTAGAACATACAAAATGCATTTTAAAAGCATTACTGTTGTCAGAATTTATTTCAAATTATAAATGCTTTTTCCAATAAATAAACAAAAATGCACATACCAAGGAGCACAAGAATAGGAAAATAGGGGAGGACAAAATTATCGAAGATACAAAACCAAACTTTATAATATCTGTTTCAGACACAGCTATTACATCACTCAAAAGAATAACACAGTGAAGTAATTTCATTATTCAAAATAGATTAAAAATGCTGCTCCTATAAAAATAGAGTGAATAGGAAGATGCACATCATACCAAAAACACCTCCTTAGTAAGGGATGGAGTTTGAACACTTTCTCTTGCTTCTTTTTATTGCTGAGCCTCCTAAAGCTGTTTCCCACATGTGTACATGCAAAGTGTTAATGAAGAAGCAAAACTTTCATGTTAGCGCCATAGGAGTAGAAATAATGTTACTGCAACACACCTGTCTACTTAGTGATTAGCTGAAGCAAAGCAACAGTAATACAAATATTTTGTTACCATTTGTTGGATTCTGTGAAAGCTTTTCCCATGGAAACTGAAGGCTTGTTCAAAAAGGACTTTATCTTCAACTGTCCACTCATCCGGAAAAGGGGTAAAATTTGGGAGATCTGCAAGGGACTTCTCAATGTTGTGCTTATGCCAGAATAACATACCAAGTGCCTTAAATAGTTTAAAAAGAATATCACATTTTTATTGTGATACACCTTATAAGGTTATTACAGTTCTATATACACTGGAAGATGCACAGTTACAGTACATATATTTCTCAAAAGCAACTATCGTTTAGGCCATTTTCCCATTATATTTACATTGCACTCACTTTATATTTACCACCCCTCATAATGTTATTATTAACATCATTCAAAATAAGATATTGCCCTATTTTACTATCTCCAACCAAAGACTCAATCGCTTCTCTTTAGGAAACATTACCAGCAGGATGTTGATTAGTGTAAGCATTAGCACTAGACAGGAAAAAAATCCATGTGAAAATAACTGTACTGGTTCCCACACTATCTTCTACATGAAATTCAAAGAGCTGATTTAGATATATAAAATCCAAAACGATCTGGGGCTGAAGTAACCTAGGACAACTTATTATTGTATCAAGCTCCTCACCCAAATTTCTATAACTTCTTCAGCTGCTTCTGGAATAAGTCAGATGCCACTTGATGCCCTTAATCTTGAATTCTGCCTATAAAACAGGCCAATTAGAATCATAGAATCATAGAGTTGGAAGAGACCACGTGGGCCATCCAGTCCAAACCCCTGCCAAGGAGCAGGAAAATTGCCTTCAAAGCACCCCAGACAAATGGCCATCCAGTCTTTGCTTAAGAGCCTTCAAAGAAGGAACCCCCACCACATGTCGGGGCACATTTCCACTGCTGAACAGCTCTCACAGTCAGGAAATTCTTCTTCATGTTCCGGTGGAATCTCCTTTCCTGTAGTTTGAAGCCATTGTTTCAAGCCTAGTCTCTGGGGCAGCAGAAAACAAGCTTGCTCCTTCCTCCCTAAAACTCCCCCTCACATATTTATACATGGCCATCATGTCTCCTGTCAGTTTTCCCTTCTTCAGGCTAAATATGCTCAAATCTTTAAGTTGATCCAGATGGGGCTTGTTCTCCAGACACTTGATCATTTTAGTTGCCCTCCTCTGGACACCTTCCAGCTTGTCAACATCTCCCTTCAATTGGACACAATATTCCAGGTGTGGCCTGACCAAGGCAGAATAGAGAGTTAACATTAATTCCCTGGATCTAAACACTATACTCCTATTTATGCAGGCCAAAATCCCATTGGCTTTTTAGCCGCCACATCACATTTATTTATTTATATTATTCAAACTTATATGCCGTCACTCCCCTGGGGCTCAGAGCGGCTTACATTGTTGGCTCATGTTTAACTTGTTGTCCATGAGGACTCCAAGATCTTTTTCACACATACTGCTCTCGAGCCAGGCGTCCCTCATTCTGTATCTTTGCATTTCATTTTTTCTGCCTAAGTAGAGTATCTTGCATTTGTCCCTGTTGAACTTCATTTTGTTACTCTTGCCCCATCTCTCTAATCTGTTAAGTTTGCTTTGAATTCTGCTCCTGTTCTCTGGAGTATTGGCTATCCCTCCCAATTTGGTGTCGTCTGCAAACTTGATGATCATGCCTTCTAACCCTTCATCTAAATCATTAATAAGTATGTTGAACAGGACCAGTCCCAGGATGGAACCCTGCGGCACTCCACTCATCACTTCTTTCCAGGATGAAGAGGAAGCACTGGTGAACACCCTTATTAACCAATTACAGATCCACTTCACCGTAGTTTTGCCTAGCCGATATTTGACTAGCTTGTTTGCCAGAAGGTCATGGGGGACCTTGTCAAAGTCCTTACTGAAATCCAGATACACTACATCCATGGCATTCCCTACATCTACTCAGCTTGTAACTCTATTGAAAAAAGAGATCAGATTAGTCTGGCATTACTTGTTTTTGATAAATCTGTGTTGCCTATTTGCAATGACCGTATTCCTTTCTAAGTGTTTGCAGACCACTTTCTTAATGATCTTTTCCAGAATCTTGCCTGGTATCAGTGTAAGTGTTTGGGTTGTCCTTTTTTCCTCTCTTGAAGATAGGGACTACATTTGCCCTCCTCCAATCTGCTGTGGCTGCTCCTGTTCTAAGAAGTCTCAGTTCCTCTTTCCTTACGAATATTACTCTTTTTAGGAGACTTTCAAAGATAATAAGTATTGACTTGGCTCTGTGCTTTTATCAACGAATTATTAAAATAAGTAATTCATCTAATTATTTTAATATTGATATATAATTTTACTACACTGCAGACTACTTTGGGCACCCTTTGGATAAAAAATGGTAGGATGTAAACAAGTGTTTTCTACTACTTTATTTAACTCTTACCTGTTCCACATTGTAGCCATGTTTTTCTTTTGCTATTGCAATGTATTCATCCACTGTGTAACAAAAAGAATGCCAAAGTTAATGTTCCCATAGACTTATAGAAGACAACTGATTTAGGATAATTGATGCCCTTTGCCAGGCAGCACATCAATCTCATTTCACAAATAAACTACTACTGAATAATCTAAGACATCTATATTCATCTACTGTAACATATTCTGCAATGATGTAAATAATGATAACTGAAAAGAACAAAATCCTGACATTCTAAAGATCCTTGAGAAAAAAATGTTTTTGGACCAAGGTTGTTATCCTGTATAGAATTAGATTTATTAGTTCAAGTGAAGCAACTAGATATAGTGGCACTAAATGCATGCCAAAACTTGTACACAGGGGCCTTGGGCCCAGAGAATTAAAAAACTTGGGAAGTACTGTAAATTATTTAAAAACAGACAGACAGCTAGATCTTTACTAGTAACTTTTCTAGATTTTTTCACAGCAACTTCAGGAAACACTAAATAACTGTATAAAGCATTAAAAAGTTATTATATATATAATAATCCTGCTATCAAATGTCATATAGAAAACTAAATGAAATCCATGCACAGATTGTGGTATGCAATAATTCATTTTTGTTTGACTTTTCACAGCTCACTTATAATATGCATGTTCACATTTGAGCCAAAACCTGCAGACATAAGCAAGCATTCTGTTATGAACCACATATATATTTCACATTAATACAGGGATAGTATTAATGGCATGTCAGACTGCTAGGCCACACCTCCCATCATGTCCATGATAGCTCGAGCTGATGGAATTAAGAGAGCAACACATTGTCTAGCTCAAGTATTTTGTATGCAATAACTCTTAATATGTAACTAAGTTATCATAGACAGCAGTTTCTAGAATTTTACTTAATTCATTGTAAATAACTTACATTTGGCATCAGAAATACTATGATATGGAGACCATACAAGCATTCCTCCATTGTCTTTATCTGTGTATTTTGTAGCTCCTAGGAAAAATAATTTGTTTAATGTTTTAGAGAACTTAACTGACAGACATTAAAATAGGCACATACAGGAACAACAACATCCAGTTCGCTGATCTTTACTTTTGTGTATTAAAGCAGAATCACTCTATATCTTCTCAGACATGAAAAGTCAAGGCTAAGGCAGATTGTATGATCTTTATGATATTCAAGCATGTTCAAGTAGTACATGATTGAATATCATAAAGATCTATTTTAGCGATAATGGGTGACACTGTGAGAACAGCAGCTTTACTTTCCAATGGTAAGCAACCTTAATTCAGCTGAGCTACTCCTATGTGCTGAGGCCTCCTACTTAGAAAAAAATGCAGTTCATTCTCATCTATATCAAGAAAATGTGTCTTGAGGATCGACTCTGCTCTCATGACAGTGAAAGTATAGCACACTGAACAATCTGCATATGCTAGGGTAGTAAAATAGTTACACTTCATTCCTCAGTAATAAACAAAACATGTTTTGTAATTGTGGTTAAACCTACTTAGCCCTGCAAATGTAATTAACAAGATATGCTGCAACCAGCATTTTTTTTAATAAAAGGGACATCACTGCACAACCCTCACATCTTCGTGTGAGGGTTGTGGGTACCCATAAAGCATTTATACACACACTATTCAAAACTGCATGGAGTACATGCAAATTAGGATAGGAAAAGATCTACAAATAGACAAAAGTAAGACTAGAAACCAAACATACTGTGAAAAAAAATGTGATATTCTTATCTTTGTACATATTCACCTTACTTTTGGGGAGGGGGGAGAACTACCATTAGCTTTCCTCAACATTAAGAAATACGCTTTTATGTGAGATATCTTCATAACATGTTTTATTTAAAGGAAAGAAATTTAACACATATTTTCCCCAAATGCAGTACAAAGAACAATGAAGAGATAGTAAATGCATATAGTGCAAATCATCCTATTATCATGAACTGAGCTGCTAATTATCATGTACTCTTGTATAAGTCTAAAAATTTTAATCATAAAAGCAATCACATCCTCACTGCAAAAGACCTGGTTCAATGAGAGTACCATCACCTTCTATGAGTAGAGTGGCGAAAGGCAAGAGCTTTGTCCGTTCATGGAAGAGGAGGGCTGCATTGGTGCTCCCCTCTTCATGGAATGACACTTCACTTACCCATGTGTCATACCAAAATTCGTAATTTTGGCTTGATTTTTCTGACTAATCTTATGATGAGTATACAGGCTAAATAAAAAGGGAAGATGGATAAAATAACTTAGGGTGCTAATTCAGTCCAACATGGCTAAAGCTAAGAAGTATTACAAATCCAGTCTGCTTCAAGGATGATAGCTACTAGAATGTTTCAAGATATTACTCTGCTAATAAAAAGGGCCCAAGCTACATGTTCCATTGTGTCAAATCAAAAGATAACAGAGAAGTATCAAAATGTCTAATTTTTGGCCAGACACCAATATAGATGCCTAGATCAGATATTTGGTCAGGACAGGATATATTTGATATCTGTTGTGTGTGTGTGTCTGTGTGGATGGGGGCAGAGGTTGATACATATTAGATTGAGATCCTTTCCTTTTGATTTTGTTGACTAATAGTCGAAGGCCATCAAATCAATTATTATTTCTTCAGAGATGTTAACCACATTACAGCAAGAAGCTCAAAACAGCAGCTCTTAAAAATTAAAGACCGGAATTTTTTTGAAGTGGTGGAAGTGGTACTGTAGATTACTTTTCAGATGGTCTGTTCTTAACAGAAAACCAGTGAAAAGTATGGTATAATGTTAATTTTTGAAATGAATACTCTTTCATGGTGCTAGAAGAATGCTAGAGAAGAAGTAATTCCTATCCAGAAGGATGCGAAACTATAAAAAATGTTGCCCTTCTTTGTAGCTATATGTTATGCACAGACTGTTTTCCCAAATAACTGTCTCTCAAGAGGTTCCAGAACATAAAGTTGGAAGAGACATTGTGGGCCATCCAGTCCAATCCCTTGCCAAGAAGCATTATGATATAGTATTTCATTCTGCATCCATTATCAATCTCGTTGATGAACTCCCTGTATAAACATGGATCATGCTGCCAAAATATTTGTGTCACTGGACAAAGGGGAAGAACATTGATGAAGAAGCCGGACAGCTCCAGATTATCCACAAAAACACAGAAAATAAAGCTGTTGGGAGTTTGTTCATCATGATGGAACAACAGAATTTGCTCAGTGTCCCCTCTTACCAAGAGAACCATCAGGTCTACAGAGTAAAATTTAACACAGAGAGAAGGAACAGTATTTTGACTGTAATAGTTCCCTTTACTCAACGGTTGGTTTCACACCAGTAACTTTTAGGGCATTTTCTGGTCACATTAAATAGGTAAAACTACTGAAGAGTTGTTTTTTTATCAAATAGAAAGCAAACCCAAGAAGCTTAAATACTTTCTTGTAGTAATATTTGACAGAATTATGGAAGATGATACATCAAAATGTGCAACATTTTAAAAATCCAAAAATGATCAGATATCAGATTACTATCTGGATCAATCTAATGTTTTAGAACACACAGTTATAGTCAACAAAGCTTGAAATATGAATAAAAATTCTATAAAGATTAAAAAAGAGTTTGATTCACCATTAAAGCCTATATTGTTAAGAATTTGGTAACAGTTCGTAGAAAAATTTTTCTCTTCCAAGACTACACAAAAATTATAAGAGGGACAGATCTCCATTGAAGAGAACTTCAAGAGGGGGGGGCATCATTATGGTAACAGAAATACCCAGACATATGGGATACAGGTACAGAGAATAAGAGAGCCAATAATGCTTTCTTGTGGCCACAGCTAAAAATATGAATGTTTGGGGATAAAATTAATATCCTGGTATGTACATACAAATCCAGACTGACAAGTAAGAGTCCAGGAATTCTATTATGTATGTACATTCACCACAAGATTAACAGATGCATCATGAACTATACAATAAAGATCAGATAGACAAAATTTAAATGTATTGAAAAATCCTGACTATGCAAAAAAATAAAATTAAAATTACATCCTGACTATATCCCATCCAAATTACTGTAGTTACCATACAGGTGTGAGTGTATTACATTTTTACACCTTCATTTTTTCTACCTGAAATGTAAGTGCTTCCTTCTTAAATATGAGGCCTATTTCTTCCAGCTTGCCTAGAACAAATGCTTGCCCTGTAAAGCTTTAATGACTATGAATAAGCATATAAAGCAAGGAGGGGAGAAAAAGAAAATCTCACACCTTTAACCTTCACAAATGCAAGTTCCCTCTGCCCTTACAGGCACACATGTGCAAACACTCACAGACACACATAAATCCTACTGAATATGGTACATTCATTCACATTCCTATAATAATAACAACATGCAATAAACTATCATTTTTTAAAAAAAATCAAAAGATATTAGGATATAAATATATATATTTAAAAACAGATTTACCAGGATCAAAGTCTGGGATGCGAGCTTGATAGTCTGCTCCGACCCTCATTCCTACATCTGCAATGGAAGGAAATATAAATGCATCATTAGGAGGGGAGGAATGCCTTTTCTGTCAGTACCAAAAGTATGATCTTTGAACAAAATCACTATGGTGAATATGTTCTTAAAGCATCACAACCAACCAAATTTTAAAGTAATATAGCAGGCAAATCTGCTATTCTGAAAGCCTCAAACCCTTCAGTCTTTGAGTAAATATAAACAGAAAGAAACAAAGAAGAAATAAAGAAATTATTCCCCCACCCACCTCATACACACTGGAAAAAGAAAATACGACTTCCCCTTCACACTCCAGGTAGCCAAAAATTTTCCAAACAGGGAACCATTATTTTGCAATGTTTTTAAATATATAAAAACAATCCGCACATTTCTAGAGAAACGGACCCTTCACTTTACCCTACTAGAACTGCACCATGTTACATGAGTACATGCACTCTGGTGCACCTCTACCAAATGAAAAAGCCAGACAGAAAAAGATAGAAAGCGCTGCACTTTCACAGACAGACCAGACAGAAAGACCTGCATGCAACCACCATTCAGGGAAATCCCTTTAGATGTGCAAAATAACAGGTTGCTTGGCCAGGTGTGGGCAATGAAGAGTGTACCATTTCCACAGTCCCAAATGTCCCTCATACAGACCCACCTAACAAACCAGGCAGCACCACAATTCAAAGGACCTCTGCAATGCTAGTAGGCACTGATGCATGGGGTCTTATGGACTATTAAATAACCAGAACCACAGTGCTGAACCTATTTTTCTCTTTACATCAGATTCCAACCAGTCTTTGAATTAAAGTCCTGGCCTATTATATGCGGTTGCCAGAACCATTAAATAATATAACCAGAATCACACTGTTTAACCTGATCTAAAAATCTTGGTCTATTATATGGAGCTGCCAGAACCATTAAAATATAACTAGAATCACAGTATTGAGCTCGATCTTCTCTTTATTTGGGAATCCAACCAACATACCAGTCTTTGCATTAAAGTCTTGACAATCATGGGGCTGTCCTAAGTGATATCTGTCCCTACTCACAGAGCTGGACATACATTGGATTTGTTTTTCTGTCAAGGATGGGAGGAAGGTGGTGGTGTAGTGGAGCTGACCATCACTCCGTTGCCATGGAGCAACCATCATCTGGTCAAGTTTAGACTTATTGTGCCCCCTAACTGCCTCAGGGGTGGAAGACCAATTAGAATGGTCTGCCCCAGGAGGCTTATGGATCCAGAAGGATTCCTGACAGCTCTTGGGTGATTTCCAAAGATTTCCCACCACCTCGGTAGGTGATCCTGTTGGTGCTCTGGTCACTCTCTGGAATAAGGAGATGACTAGGGCAACAGACATGATCACTCCGGAATGTTCCATTTCACATGGCAGAGCTATATCAACTCCTTGGTTTAACAAGGAGTTGGAAGCGATGAAGTTTGTGAAACTGAGACTAGAGCATGTATGGTGCTCATTTCGCACCAAATCAGATCGAACATTGGATAGGTCTCTATCTAAGGGCGTATTCCATGGCAGTGGACACCGCAAAGCAATCTTCCATTGCAGATAACATTGTGTCTGCAAAGAACCGTCCAGCAGAAGTTTTTTTTGAGTGGTCAGAGGGTTGTAAAATCCCACCCCACAGTATCAGGCCCACCAACACCTATAGGGAAAATCCTGGGTTATAGATAATATTTTGTATGGGCCCATCAGACACCTCAAAGGCAAATCCTGGGTTATAGATATTATAATATATTGTATGAGGCCCACAGACACCTCGAAGGCAAATCCTGTGTTATAGATAACATATCAGATCCACTGACATCTCAAAGGTATGTCTTAAGTTATACATAATATAATATATTGTATGAGGCTGATAAACACCTCAAAGGAAAATCCTGGATTATAAATAATATAATATCAGGTCACAAACACCTTGAAGGCAAATCCCAGTTTACAGATAATATATTGTATGAGGCTCATAGACACCTCAAAGGAAAAGCCTGAGTTATAGATAATATAATATTAGGTCCACAGACACCTTGAAGGCAAATCCTGTGTTATAGATAATGTAATATATTGTATCAGGCCCATAGACACCTTGAGGGCAAATCCTGGGTTATAGATATTATAATATATTGTTTGAGGCCCACACAAACCTCAAAGGCAAATCCTGGGTTTATAATATCAGGTCCATACACAATCCTGGATTATAGATAATATAATATCAGGCCCACAGACACCTCAGAGACAAATCCTGGGTTATAGATAATATAATATCAGGTCCATACACAATCCTGGATTATAGATATTATAGTATCAGGCCCACAGACAACTCAAAGGCAAATCCTGGGTTATAGATGATATAATATCAGGTCCATACACAATCCTGGGCTATAGATAATATAATATCAGGTCCACAGACAACTCAAAGGCAAATCCTGGGTTATAGATAATATAATATCAGGTCCATACACAATCCTGGGCTATAGATAATATAATATCAGGTCCACACACAATGCTGGACTATAGATAATATAGTATCAGGCCCATAGACATCTCAAAGGCAAATCCTGGATTATAGATAATATAACATCAGGTCCACAGACACCTCAGAGGCAAATCCTGGGTTATAGGTAATGTAATATATTGTATGAGGCCCACATGCACCTCGAAGGCAAATCCATCCCGCGTTTGAGGCTGACACGTGTGGCCAGGGTGCCAAAAAGCAACTCCCTTCTCCACCTGATGGATGGAGAGGTGGGCGATGCGCGCCCACGCGGGGGGAGAGCCAAGCGGGGAGCGCTCCCGCCTCGCCCCTTCCCTCTTCGCCACGGCTAGGCCCAACCCGACCCTCTGAGGGAAAAGGCGGAGAGAGAGAGAGAGAGAGGGAGCCGCACCGTGCTCGTCGCCGCTGTCCCCTCCTCCTCCTCCTCCTCCGCCAGCACCACCGCCCGCTTCAGGCTCGGAGAAGTGCCCGTTGGAGCCGGGGCTGCCTGCGCCTCCTCCTCCGCCTCCTGCTCCTGCTGCTCCGTTCTTGGTGCCGTTGGGGCCTGCCCTGCTCTTGGCGGCCCCCAGCAGCTCGGCTCCCTTCTCCATCATGCCCGGCATGACGGCGCCTGAGGCAGGCCTCGGAGGGAAGGAGGGAGGGAAGGAGGCGGCAGCGGCTCTGCCGAAAGGGGGAAAGTTAAGACGGAGCCGCCATGTTGGTGCCTGTTTCCTCCGCCCCCTCCTCCTCCCCTTCCCCCGCCCCTCTCTCGCTCCGTTCCTGCCTCCTACGCTCTCCGCCCACGGGGTGGGATCCCTCCGCGCCGGCAGCGTAGCCGGATCTAGCTTCCTCGCGCGCGCGCTCTCTTGCGGTCGTCCTCAATAGAGAAAAGAGTCCGCGGCAACGGCGGAGGAGGACTACGCAGACTGACGGTGTGCTTGGACGGCGCCTGTGGTTATTTAAGCCCCTGTTGCAACGAAAAGAGGCGTTGGTGGTAGTGCAGTGATATTGCTCTCTCTGAAGAGTGGGGGGAGTTGAAGTCCAAAACACCTGGAGGGAGGACCCAAGTTGGCCCATGCCTGTTATACACACTTAGCCTGAATAAATTATTCCATGCAGTCATGCCGGCCACATGACCTTGGAGGTGTCTATGGACAACGCTGGCTCTTCGGCTTATTTATTACTTTATTTATTTATTTACTTTATTTGTATACCGCACTCTCTCAGCCCGTAGGCGACTCAGTGCGGTTTACAGCCAGGTCAATATACAAAGTGCACAACATTAGCATTTAAAACAGTAACGAAGGCAACTACATCAACTACATCAATCTAACAATACATCAATACATCAATATAACATCAATACATCAATATAACATCAGTACATCATATAACTAATCCATCACGTCTCATCAGTAAAGTCATAATCCGATTTCCTCGTCCATTATTCCAAGTTCCAAGGTCAATCAATTGGTTGCACTGCTTAATTAAACGCCTGTTCAAAGAGCCAGGTCTTTACTCTTCTCCTGAACGCCAGCAGGGAGGGGGCCGATCTAATGTCTGCGGGAAGGGCGTTCCACAGCCGGGGGGCCACCACTGAGAAAACCCTGTCTCTCGTCCCCACCAGCCGTGCTTGTGAGGCTGGCGGGATCGAGAGCAGGGCCTCCCCGGACGATCTTAATGTCCTAACTGGTTCATAGGGGGTGATGCGTTCGGACAGATAGGTCGGGCCAGAACCGTTTAGGGCTTTAAAGGCTAAAGCCAGCACTTTGAATTGTGCCCGGTAGCAAATTGGCAGCCAGTGGAGCTGGCGCAACAGAGGAGTGGTGTGCTCCCTGAGTGCCGCTCCTGTTAACAACCTGGCTGCCGATCGTTGGACCATTTGTAGCTTCCGAGCAGTCTTCATAGGCAACCCCACGTAGAGAGTGTTGCAGTAGTCTAGAAATGGAGATGAGCACCACACCCCAGAGTCAGACATGACTGGACTTAATGTCAGGGGACTACCTTTACCTTTACTATGTTTTTCAAGAGGCATGTATTTATTGTTAATATCAATAAATTATGTGTATATATATTTCAAGAAATAGTTTTCTAAGCTCTACAGAGACACACGCTGGAACACCTCAGGAAGCGAGAGTCGAAAAGGGGCAGGCTCAAACCCAGAACGTCAATCAATGGCTGATACCAAATGAGAGACTCCCCTCTGGGGCACACAGAAAACTGGGTGACTTGGAAGGTGCTGAATAGACTGCGCTCTGGCACCACGAGATGTTGTTGTCGTGTCAGGAGTGACTCCTGGTGTGAGAGAATTGGCCGTCTGCAAGGACGTTGCCCAGGGGACGCCTGGATGATTTGATGTTTTTATCATCCTTGTGGGAGGCTTCTCTCATGTCCCCACATGAGGAGCTGGAGCTGCTAGAGGGAGCTCATCCGCCTCTCCCCGGATTCAAACCTGCGACCTGTCGGTCTTCAGTCCTGCCGGCACAAGGGTTTAACCCACTGCACCATCGGGGGCTCATACCACGAGATGCAGAGCCAACCTTAAGAAATGGGGCCATAAAGTGGAATCCACAACATGCGAGTGCGGAGAAGAGCAAACCACAGACCACCTGCTGTAATGCAACCTGAGCCCTGCTGCATGCACAATGGAGGACCTTCTTGCGGCAACACCAGAGGCACTCCAAGTGGCCAGATACTGGTCAAAGGACATTTAATCAACTACCAAGTTTGCAAAGTTTGTGTTTTGTTTGTTTGTTTGTTAAAAAAAACGCAGTACAACTGTTTGGTCCACTCCTGAACGATAAATAAATATAAATGTATGTATGTGTATATATATACACACACAATATTAATATATAATAATAATACTTTGGAGCCCAAGTGGCACAGTTGGTTAAACCGCTGAGCAGCTAAACTTGCTAACAGAAAAGTCGCAGGTTTGAATCTGGGGAGCAGCATGAGCTCCCACTGTTAGCTCCAGCTTCTGCCAACCTTGCAGTTCGAAAATATGCAAATGTGAGTAGATCAATAGGTACCGCTCCGGCAGGAAGGTAATGGTGCTCCATGCAGTCATGCCGGCCACATGATCTTGAAGGTGTCTACGGACAATGCCAGCTCTTCGGCTTAGAAATGGAGATGTGCACCAACCCCCAGAGTCAGATACGATTGGACTTAATGTCAGGGGAAAACCCTTTACCTTTACCTAATATTACTTTATTTATTTACAGTATTTATATTCCTCCCTTCTCACCCCGCTGGGGACTCAGGGTGGATTACAATCCACAAATACGTGGCAAACATTCAGTGCCATTAGACAGACAACATATATAGACAGACACATTCCAGCTTTCCGGCTTCATGAGGGTATGCTCGATTCCGGCCATGGGGAGTTGCTGCTTCACTGTCCACTTGTGACATTGAGTATTTGATGGAGTACTTCCTCATTCTTACGCATGCTGCTGGAAGTTTTTATGGTGTGGTAAATTAGTTAAATTAGCTGCCTGCTGTAGGTTGACCAGTCGAGAAATAGATAACAATGTTATCCTAGGTAAGAAGAAAAAGTCTGCAAGAAATTATTTATTTATTTATTTAGAACTTTTATATCCTGTTCTTCTCTACCTCCATGGAGGGAATCAGAATGGCTAACAACAGCAAAAATTCAATGCTACACAATAAATAACATTTTAAAAACAACATACATAATAAATAAGTTATAAAATACATATAAAGACAGTTCGCCGAGTTAAAAACATCATTCAACTCAATCCAAACACTGTGGTCCAATAACTCTTAGTCTTTACCGGTTCAATCCAGCAATCTGCGAATGCCTGATTCCAAAGCCAGGATTTCAGTTTCTTCCTGAAGGTCAGGAGGGAAGGGGCGGACCTAACCTCATTGGGGAGAGAGTTCCATAGCCAGGGGGCCACCACAGAGAAGGCCCTGTCTCTTATCCCCACCAAGCGCGACTGTGAAGGTGGTGGGACCAAGATCAGGGCCTCTCTGGAAGATCTTAAACTCCTTGATGATTTATAGGGGAAGATACGTTCAGATAGGTAAACTGGGCCGGAACCATGTAGGGTTTTATAGGTTAAAACCAGCACTTTGAATTGTGCTCGGAAGCTAATCAGCAGCCAGTGGAGCTGGAATAATGGGAGTTGTGCGCTCTCTGTACCCCATTCCCGTGAGCAACCTGGCTGCCGAGCGTTGGACTAATTGGTGTTTCCGGGCAATCTTCAGCTGCAACCCCACATAAAGTGTGTTGCAGTAATCTATTCGGGATGTAACCAGAGCATGAACCACCATGGCCAAGTCAGACTTCTCAAGGTACGGGCATAGCTGGCACACAAGTTTTAACTCTGCAAAAGCTCCCCTGGCCACCGCTGAAACCTAGGGTTCCAGGCTCAGCTATGAGTCCAGGATCACTCCCAAGCTGCAAACCTGCGCCTTCAGGGGGAGTGTAACCCCCTGGAGGAAGGAGAGCATAGTGTATAGTAAAATATAGTAATATGTAATACTGCAAGGGGTGCATACATTATTGGGAGCTACTTTTCCAAACAACATCTGCATTCATTCAAACATCTGCATTCATTCAAACAAATTGCTCATTGTTCCATTTTAGCACCATGGCAAGATACTCTAAGTGTAAACTAATGGAGGAGGGGGATCAATACAATACAATACAATAATGGTAATATCACATGATAGTTGACATTAGAGAGGCTGGGAGCTTACCTCTTCATAAACATTAATGTGTTTGGGTTCCGAGGACGCTAGAACCACACAAATTGTGAGGCTCACACAAGCCTCTTAGTTGCTCTTAATAAGTAATATGACAGTTTTCAATTTTGGTAAAAGTAAAATGCATGCTCAGCCACGGATTTTCTTATTGCGTACCCTTCTGTAAGGCAGACAAAAGCACTTAGGCTGAATGTAAAATACATGAATTATTTAGCTCTTTTAAATGGTGTGGATGGAAAATCATGTGTTATTACTTCAACTAATTCAGTGCACGGCAAAGCATTTGGATTTTACAGGATCTCAAACTTGACCAATTTTGTGAAATAAATCCTTTGTAGATTGGAGAAGTTTAACACTTGCAATTAAAGTCTTCAACATCTTCCCATTTTAGTTCAAGTAAAACGGGGCAGTTTTCTTCCTCTTTTCTGTCTACCCCAATTTTTTTTCTCTGTCCCTTTCCCTGCACCCCATTTCCTCCAGATAAACACAATTTGCTGCCCAGAACCTGAGGGCATCCTTCTCTATTTTTCCTTTCTTATTTCTTGCAGTCTGTTTCTTCTTACCTAGGATAACATTGCTATCTGTTTCTCAAGACTGGTCAGCCTCCAGCTGGCAGTTGTTCCCAAACAGAAGTGGGAATTGAAGAAACAAGTAGCAATGTGTCATCTCAGCACACAGCTACACTCGCTCCGTGGAGTGAATAGGTGGAATAGGAACAGAGCTGGAGCTAGCTGTTGGAAATAGTCTCCTATACTAGTTATTTGTTATGTATTTAATCCAAATTCATTACTATATTGTATATGTGTGTACTGGTATGCAGTTTTCCTTAACTGTATGTTGTTTGAGGTTGTGGGAGGGATTGCAGACCATGTGATCAGGTCTGGGACTATTCAGACTGAGACTCCATTTTTAGAAGTCAAGTATTGTATAATCAGTTGTGTTTAGGATGCGTTGAGTTTGCATTAAGAGAGTATGCATTAGACATAAGACAGAGAAGAAACTGCAACTGAATGCCTTAGAGAACTTACTGTT